TGGTACCACAAGGAGAGCAAGGGGTTACCTGAAACAAATATATAGCTTTGCGATGTTCAAAGTTAAGTGATGGCGATGGAATGTGTTTTACGTAGAGTGCACATGTACCTTTCCCACCCTACCCCCACTACTTCCTTGCCTCTAGACTAATTAATTAATTGAAATTAATTAATTAAACAAAACATTAAAGTTTACACCTTAACGCCATGGGGCCATAGTTCCTTAGCGGCAAGCAGCTCCCTTAACCATCCCAATAGTGCACTCTGCACTAAAAATGGGGAGGAGGGGGCCCCTAGGTGACCCCCTGGCTTCGCCCCTGCATTTATGCAAACGCCGGGTCTGATCGCGTAAACGGGATTGAACTATCGTCCTTACGGGAGGAAGGGCGATTATTTTGATAACGAAAAGCGAGGGAATATTGATGACAATGGAAGAGTTGCAGTTGATATTTGCAATATGCAAATCCAGTGGAAATTTACTCGGAAAGGAATAGCGAAAATATGCCTGTGGGAAAGTGAAGAGTTATGCGTATCTAAGGAATTCAAACGGGTATATTTTATGGTTGGTTAAGTAGCACGAGAGATAAGTAAACCTGAATGAGGGAATTATTTGTGCTTTACACCCTTGCCCATATACCTTGCGGGTAAGTTACTGAGTGCATGTGAAGTTGAAATTTATGTTCTTGCTTCAGCGTAAGACGTTTAGAATGTTGTCATTTATAAAATCGCATTTCTGTGTTGAAATATTTTGCAAGTTTCATGTTTGTCAGTTAAGAAGCTCTCAAATTCTACATTGAAAGTCATCAATAAAAATAAATAACATTTGAATTATTGGTGTAGTTGCTGCTTAGTCTTCCTTGAGGGCAGCTAGCTGTTGTTGCATAGCCAGCTGAGAGGCTTGCAAGAATACCATCACTGCCTGTAGTTCTGTCTGCCTCACTGGTCTGACTGATACACAATTGAAATTTCCATTCTTTCTGTCCAGAGATCCCATACACCTTGGAGACCAGAAATGGGATAATTAGTTTGATAGATCCGCTCGTAAACAATTACAATTTTTTAAGAATACAATTATTATGTTGACTGGATAGAAACGTCATTACAGCATTGTGTATCACTAGTGCAGAAAAGCGCAACACGGGGTCCGTCCAATCTCGTTCCTCGAGTCTTCGTTCCTCACAGCGCCAGCTTGACAAACCGAGCTACTCTCGCAAGTTCCGTTACAGGCTCGATTTTGATTGTTTTTAAACATAATGGAGATGAGCGGAAGTAATACTTCAGCGTCTCATTGAGCCACGTGTTTGTCAGCTAGGCATGCACAATTCAACCGGAAGTCCGATATTTTCAGACTTCAAATCGGATCTTTGCAGGTCGCTCGTTTCCCGAGCACTGGTCAAGGGGAACGAAGACTCTGGGTACGTGGTTGGAGCTCAGTTATATGAGTTCAAATTACGGCCATCAGGGGTATTTTGAAGATGGCCAAAGATCCCCCAAAACCTTCCCCATACAGCCCAAGATAATTACAAAACTTCCAGAGATTTTGCATAACCACTAGATACTAAGATCAGCTGAAATCAATCAATCAATCAATCAATCAAGCCAGCCAGCATTTCAAGACGGATTCCGATCAAAGTTCGAGCAATATTTGCAAAATTCTTTACTACAAATCTACTCACAGCAAAACATCTCACTGTAATTCATTTCTCTACCTGACCCCGCGATTAAATCTCCTAGCATTCTCGAGAAATTTAATTTTATGAAAATCTCGTAAGAGTGCTTAATGCGTGTGTTGTTGTGTTTTCAACTAAAGCGAAATGTCCGTTTTAATTAAAACATGGATAACTTCAAGTTAAATTTTCTCTCGCGGGGTCAGCTTGAGAGCTTAAGTCTCGATAAGATCTTCTTACCTTTATTCAAAATATTACCATGCTATGAGGTTTTTTTTGGTAACTTTATTTTTGCCATTATTGCTCGAATGTTCTGCGAAATTATCTTAAACGTTATCGGAAGGTCTCCAAACACTTTCGAAAGGCTCTGGAAGATATTTGGAAGACCGGCGGCTCTCCCACTGCGTAGGTAACCCGGAGCTGTAAATATCACAACACACTGGACCACTACGGCCATGACACGTAAAATCAACGCTTTTTTTCATATAAACCAAAAAAACACCTCCATTGATCAGTGCCAGAGTTGATGCCCCAAATGTGCCAATTTTTACAAAGAAATGTATGCCAGGAGTTATAAGCGCTTGTCCACCCACTGGCATACATTTCTTTGTACAAATTAACAAGTTTCAATCAGTTCACAAGATTCTTATGAAATTTTGCACATATTAATTCATCTACTAAATTTGACACGATAAGTCGAGTGGCAAGGATGATTTTTTGTTTGAATAAAAAAATTGGAAAAGCGTGACATCATCATATTGTATTTTCTTTGTTTAACCTCACGCTTAGTTCCCTTCTGTTTTTACATAAATATCATTTGAAACTTCAATTGTAATTACGTCATCCCTTGCACCACCTACTGCAACTTGTATACCCTTGCTTTCGTATTTCACTGCTAATCAAAACTATAACAAAATTCTCGAACGTGATTGGCTATCAGCAGCCCGATTTGAGCATTACTA